GGGGGGGGTTACAACCTTAAGTATGAAATCATGTCGCTATATATATATTACTTTTCAGACTTAAATTAAATGATTTTAATTAGTTGAATATCAGCCTTTTTTTAATTTCTGAAAAATAATTCATACTATTGTTATCAAAATTAGATAACTATCGAAGGTTACAATTAACCCGCCAGTAACATCGTACCTTTATTACAACGGTATTATATCAAAAATACTCTCTACTTGCTATTTTGATTTCAAGATATATTATTCTCTATCTGTGATCATGTGATCCATGTGATCCGAAATATAATGTTGGTCACATTGGTTATAACATTAAATTTTTAATATTTTTTTATCAAATAATTAGTGAGATATTTAACGTTATGACCAATGTGACTAAAATTATATTTCAGATCATATGGATCATAGGATCACAGTTGAAAAATGGTATATCTTGAAATGAAAATAACAAACGGAGGATATTTTTGACAATACCTCTATTGCAACATATATACTCACTTCACCCGTCCAAGTCTATTATCCTTTTGATATTATATATTTCCATAGATTTATTACTATTATTATTATTATTATTATTAAAAAGATATATGTTTTTTTATCTAATTGATGGTTGCTGCACGAAAAAAGTCAAATGCATAGTTTTTTTATTTAACATTTTTTAATTTTAGACAATTTTCTATCTCTCGAATTTTCACCATCTTTCAGTCCCCATCTTAGCTTTATTTTTGTCCCAGATGCGAAGCTTGCCCACCAACCATATCTTCTTCTCTTTTATAAGAAATATAAATCCATCAATCACTTTTTATTAACATGGGTCTTTTTGTTTACATCTGTCCGTTGATAAACGTTATTAAATTAAACCATAGTTAAATTACTGGGTTTTTTTTTCTAAAGCAAGCGTTGCCAGCTGTCTGTTAAAATTAAGTTCATATATCTTTTTCATAATAATTAACCGTGGATTAATTGTAAGATACGGACAGGGTCCTAAACTTAAATATGTATAGCAGCGCATAATAACATTCTATAATACTTTTCGATCGGGAGTTATTTAACCAGCAAAATATAATGATATAATATATTCTTTCACTTTTAGATTATATATTTTACAATATATATATATTTTTTTTTTGTTTTGCTTTTTGTTTGTCTTTTTTATTTTCTCTGTTCACAAGTCAAGTCAGCCTACAAACAACGCGATCTTGGAATCCCCTGGACGTTAGTTTTGCTATTATTGTTAATTATTTAATGCATTTATAAATAAAATAAATAAATAATTTGTATTACCTTATCTGGATTGAGAAATGTAGAACCATGCTATCCAGGAACGATGACAAAACATTTTTTTTTTTTATAATTCGGACGATAATCGGATTTTTGGCCCAATTATATTTCCTAGAAGATCAAAAAAATTCGAATGACAAACCTTTCCAAATAGAAACTCGAATTTGAGAAGAAATTTTGTTCATTTCCTTACCGGTAGGATGTCAATTTTGACCCGAAACTCGAAACTTGGTCCGATCCGATCATAAAATATAGCGGATTTTGAACCGAGATATTTGGATCCAAAAATTTTCAGGCATTCGGACCAAACTCAGATGGAGCTTTAGACTGGCCCAAAAACACGATTTTTTTTTCAAAAAAACTAAAAAATAATAAATTTTAAAGAACAAATTTAGCGAATCGACCCGACCCGAATCCAAACCCGATGTCTATAGGGTCGGGCTTCGAATTTGATGATTTAGGTCTAAAAAAATCGGATCGGATCGAGTCTAAGCCAGAAACCGTCATGCTAAGTGTAGGTTTGGTTCGATTTGATTGACACCTTTACTTATCAATTGAACTACTCAATCTTGATGATGATAAAGCATTTCAATAATTTATTTTATCTTATCTATAACTCGAGATGACTTTCGATTTTATTTCTTAAAGCAAAATCATGAATTGCTGAATGAATAAAACATAATTCAAGTGAATGGACCACACCAGTGGCGGATGCACGTTAAGGGCAATGGGGGCAAAGGCCCCCATTAGTTTAATTAAAAACTGTATTTTTCTTTTTGTTCATTTCCTTACCGGTAGGATGTCAATTTTGACCCGAAACTCGAAACTTGGTCCGATCCGATCATAAAATATAGCGGATTTTGAACCGAGATATTTGGATCCAAAAATTTTCAGGCATTCGGACCAAACTCAGATGGAGCTTTAGACTGGCCCAAAAACACGATTTTTTTTTCAAAAAAACTAAAAAATAATAAATTTTAAAGAACAAATTTAGCGAATCGACCCGACCCGAATCCAAACCCGATGTCTATAGGGTCGGGCTTCGAATTTGATGATTTAGGTCTAAAAAAATCGGATCGGATCGAGTCTAAGCCAGAAACCGTCATGCTAAGTGTAGGTTTGGTTCGATTTGATTGACACCTTTACTTATCAATTGAACTACTCAATCTTGATGATGATAAAGCATTTCAATAATTTATTTTATCTTATCTATAACTCGAGATGACTTTCGATTTTATTTCTTAAAGCAAAATCATGAATTGCTGAATGAATAAAACATAATTCAAGTGAATGGACCACACCAGTGGCGGATGCACGTTAAGGGCAATGGGGGCAAAGGCCCCCATTAGTTTAATTAAAAACTGTATTTTTCTATGTAAATTTTTACAAATTTGCAAATAAAATTAGAAATGCCCCCATTTATAATAGAAAAAATTATGTTTGCCCCCTGTTGAATAATTTTCTAAATCCGCCACTGGACCACACCCTTCTGTTGTACGATCAGTAGACTCCATTGTTCGGCAAATCAACCCATAAGATGAGGATGAATAGCTTTATAAGTGAAATCAAGCAGCTTTATAACTTTTTTTTTAGGTAACCGGGTATCCCAGGCCCAGAGGCCCAGACTAATCCCGACCCACGCGCACGACCCTGTAACACACACGTGGGATGTGAAACACCCGAAGGTGGCAGGAGGAGAATCTCCATACTCTGGGTGTTGAACTCACGACCTCGTTTACAAGAAGGGGGTTCTCAAACCAACAGAGTTGGAGATTTCCCCAAGCAGCTTTATAACTTACTCTAACAAGAGCAAAGATTTCTAGAAATCGATTCTAGAATATATCTATCAAACCTCATGAGATGTAATTGGGTTGAAGGATCGATAAACTTACGCATTAACAAAAAAAAAATACCTACCAGACTCTCCTCCAATATCCTAGAGATCGCAGTTTAACTAAATGAAGTGGTTTTCCAGTAAAAGAGAAGGATATTACTCGCTAATTCCAAACTGGAGGAAGCTTCTTCATCTTCTTGTAATAGCAAGCAAGAAGACGGTGACAGGGTCAAACCCTTTTTTTTTTTTTTTTTGTTGAAACACTGACATTGCAAATTGAATCCTTGACAACTGTCGACAGGAGGAACACATCGGTTGATAAATTGAATATCATAAACCAAACGTAGCAATGGGCGGCCTGGTGCGCATAACGAGAGTTCGGAAAAAGAACCCCATTGTATGCAAACCTTACGTTGTAGAGATCACAATGACAACACCTTACATCCTGAGAAGAGATTTTCCACCAGCATCGTGACGAATTCTGAAGCTTGGCCATATGATTATGACCTTTCTCTTAGCAGGCAGCCACCGGAGGAGGAGGCGTCATGGTTTGGAGATGTTATTTGGGTTAATATAATCTTAAAGAGAGCCGACGAGTTATACTAGATGGGCCTCGTTGGCATTCTTTAACGAGAAAGCCCGCAAAGCAAATACTGTACAAAATCAATGTCAGAAACAGAAAGGACGCTCATATGTAAGTAAAAACTGAGAGGTCTTTTGCGCCAAAGGAAAATTCTCACCGACATATGAATTCCATAAGAGGCAGTAGAAGAAACATTCCAAAAACCGTAGTTTAGGAGAAGAAACAAGTAACATGGAGGGAGCTCAAAGCATAAAGTTTAACCCTAAACCGCCAAAAAACAGAAGAAGACGCTTCTCAGAATTCCCTCCTACAGCCTCTACTCAGACCAGACCACCTGAAAAACCACTCAAGCAAGCTTTTTTTGGAGGACTCAAGATTCAAAACAACTAAAAAGCCAATCTATTCGACAAGGTTTCTCTTCAGGTATGTGATATGCAAAAAGTTGCAATATCCCCGGTCTCTTACTTCTAGAAACGAGTGGGGTGAGGACCCATTTGCTCTATGTGTCATCTCTGAAGCTGTAAGCTGATATCTTATCTACAAAGACTTTGGCGAGGGAGCTTCCCACAGCTTTACTTTCTTGTCAACACTTGACGTCGCTAAAAGCGACACCTGTCTCTCCCCTGCACAAACCCAGAAAAAAAAAATAAGAACATGAAATGCTGAAAGAAGGCTGGGACAAACATATACAGATAGGAATCAGTGCAGTGTCTCAAACGCACCAACTATGACAGGTTTTGGCGCCCATGAAAGGCATGTGATGTCCCCTACACAAACGCAAGACTTGAATTAATGTATGGTCAATCAGGGTTGTCCACAGAAAGAACTCCGAAGGAACGAGGAAAACAAATGACCTTCATGTGCTTTCTCAGCCGTATCCAACGCATTTCCAGTTACAGCACACAGCCATTGCAGCGTGGAACCATGAGTTGCTGCCAGTATCTTTCCATCAGGAGATAGGCTGAGCCGATCATAGTGCAGAGGATTGCCGCTGGAGTCACTAAGTGGAATCGGGAAGACCTTCAAAGTTTTCGGATCCTCGTCGAGTTGATAGCGGACTTCAAATGACAAATGTGAGATTCAAACCAGAGAACAGCAGCCATAGATTTAGATTGAATGAGATCATTCCATATACAGATATCGTAAACAAATAACTTTATGGGAGTGTACTAACCATTGATGTTCCAAATTCTTATTGAACCATCCTTTGAAGCTGTGATGATTTGTTCTGAGTCTGGAGTGAAGCATAACCAAGTCACCGCACTCTGGACAATAGAAGCTCTAAACATGAAACAAGCACAAGAGAAAAGCAAGAACGAGTCTTTGAAGAAAATCCATGAAATTATCCCATACTATGAAGAGACCAGTGTACCTTATGCCCTTTAAGTTGCATAACTTTTGAAACCTCCTTCACAGAACCATCTTTCATGTATACAATTTCCCACACCTACAAAGCACAATTTATTGAAAATACATGATAAAAAAAATCTCGTCACACTTGTTAAAACACCTTGGCCATCAAAGTAGCGTTTTTAAGAAGATTCACCTTCACATCTGCAGTAAATGCCGCGGCAGCCAGGAAGCGCCCATTTGGTGATACAGCAGCCATGTGGTTCTTCAACTGATTTGTGTCAACATGTCCCAAATTCTTCCCAGTTTTCCCATGCCAAAGTATAATATCAGTACCTGGGGAAGAATAAGTTTCAAAGGAACATGATACATTTCGCCATATCCGAACACTTCCAATCCCATATACAGGAAACGATATGCAATTTGAGTAGTCTGATAGTCCTAAGCCACAACTATTAACTTTTAAATATTTAAAATCACATGGCAAAAACACGTTTGAACAAGAGATTCTCAAAGACAATTTGTCATTATCACATGTAGTGAAAGAAATATGAACCTTGTCTCAAGTTTAGAAATGAATTTGTATACCTTCTGAACAAGAGGCAAAGATGGTACTCCCATCAGCAGTGCCGTAAGTTGCAGTTGCTCCAGATAAGGTCAGGATAGCTCTTCTCTCATGAACACTGTGGTGCTTCCATTTGATCTCCGGAAGAGGAAGTTTCGCTTGCTGCTTACCCTCGTTAGAAGCTTTTGGTTTCTCTTCTCCATACATGTACACAGAAGAACCAGACATGGCATGACAAGCCACGACAACAGAAGACGCATCATCAGCAAATGCAACAGCAGTCGGATGACTTCCAGAAGGAAGATTTATTCTTAAAAATCTGTAAACAAAGCAAAAAATGTCGGGCTATCAGAGAGATCATAAGAACAATCAATTTTCACAACTAATGATGAATAGTGCAATAACAAACAAGTCAGCTTGACAAGTGCATACTTGAAGCTTTTGCTTGAGGCATCATCCAGCTTGAACACCCTGATCACTCCATCACCACAAGCTATTCATAGAAAACCAGAAGAAATATAATCAGAATTTAAAAAGACAAAAAACATTCTGAGTAAAGAAACAAATTTTAGATAAAACATCCACAGAATGATGTAATATCACGTTCAAACTTCAAATATAACCCTCCATCATCTCATGCTCATATAAAGTCGAGAAAATTATAGAAATTTCATAAGACCGAATACCAGGTCACTTTGCTGCATACATGTCAACGATCCCATTATCCAGTGAATAAACCATGGAAACGTAAGATTAGTCCGTAAAAAGAAAAGAAAGAAAAGCGGATGGTTCCACTAGATACGATCTCTAATCAGTATTTTCAATTCCATACACAAGTAGCTAGCAAACTCCAAACAGTGTTCGAGAAAATCTAGCAAAAAGACGCTTCACCTGTAGCCAAGTTCCGACCATCGGAGGAGAAACACAACCCGGTTACAGTATCACCATGCCCTTTCAACGTATTTAAGTCCAAAGGATGACGCCGCTTGGGTTGATCCTGCATTCCACCATCACATTTGTACAAAATCACACACGAGAAAAAGAAAGCATCAAACGAGAAACGAAGAACAATCCGGTAGACGTGTCTCCGAACAACCAAATGCCATTTCTCGCTGCCTTTCTAAAATATCTATGTTGGTCATCTCAACTCGCCCCGATCCCCTAAACTCGGCGTTACAGATTCAGGTTCCGCCATGATCGGGAGCTCACACGTAAATCTACCTTGTCAGAGGAATGAGAGTGAAGCTTGGGATGGGCCTTCTTGGAGAGTGGCTGATTTGATTTCTGATTCCGCGTAGGATCTGGTCGAGGATCCACCTTGGCGATCGATTGCACCTCCGATCTCCGCTTCCGGAAGTAGCTACCGAAGAAAACCACAGCAATCAACGCGCCGACCACAACCGACGCGACGGCAACCAGAAGAACCGAGTCCATCTCTAGATGCGTACGGATTTCTGCGACCCTTTTCCGAATTCCGAACAACAGATTACGACGAGAATAGACGGTGAATCGAGTCGTATTTCGAGTCGTGGAATTGGGTTTGATGAAAATTCTCTCCTCGATTTTAAAACTGGGCTGGGTCTAGGCCCATTATGTCTAAGCCCGCAGAAAAGGTCAGGTTCCAATATAATATATATATAATTCTATTAGCGTTTTCTCTTCCGTATTTGTCCGGTAAGTTGTAACAATAGTTTTTTTTTTGGTTTTACAATAGTTTATAGCAGGTATTCGGATTCGATTTGGTTATATTCAACTTTAGCAATACTCGAATTAATTTATTTCAGATTTAAAAAAATCTATACATTCAGTTTTTATATTGAATTTGATTCAGTTTAATTTAATTCTATTTCAGTTTGGGTTTGGCTCGATTTACATTTTTATTGCTAAAACTATTCATTCAAAACGAAAGTTAGGTTATTTTTTGATATGTTTGGTTTGGTTTTTTTCTATTTTAGAAAAAAATATATAATCATTTAGATTTTATATCGAATTTAATTCGGTTATAATTATTCGTTTTTTCGATTTAGTTCGTTGAGATTTATAAAAATTGTTTCAATCACCCCGACTGTGTTGGTCGAGTGAAATGATTGAGAAAGGTAGGGGATTTTGGTTCCATGTCCGATGTTCGAATAAGGGTGAGGAGACGTACAATTTAATTGCGGTATAGAGGTTCACTCTAAATTTTGGAAGATGTAGTTGGAGCTAAGTTAAAAACTTCGAATTATAAAAAAAAAATGTTTTAATCTAGAGTTGAATGTTAATCGATTGGGTTTTATATTGTCGGTTCAATTCGTAGTAGTTTTATTATATAAATACTAAATAACTAAACTTGACACATATATATTGATGATAATTCAGATTTTGATTTGATATTTACTATATTTATTATTCAATTAGATACATTTTCATAAACCTTTTCCAAAGGTTATCGAACCGAACACATTCAGTAAAACACATAAACCAAATGGAACCCAAATAAAAATAAAATAAAAACAAGAGAAGGGAAGCTTTGTGGGATTAGGGGCGTCTGGCTCTGTAACGAACAGCGGCGTAGCGTTGGATAAAGGCGAGGGCATTGCTTGTGGTCTCCTCAACATTCTTCACCTTCCCTTTAATCGAAGCCTTCACTTTACTCATCCTCCGTCCCTGGAACTGGCTCACGCATGTCTCGGCATCGGTCAGAGCCGAACTCGTCCACGTCTGAAGGCTATTGATGTGCCACTCGAGCTCGCTGCTCGTCATGCTCTCGCTCCCGACTCGGTTCAATTCCTCGATGGCTAGGGTCAGCTGGTTCACGCTGTCTCTTATCTGGGTCAGGCAGTCTCGGACCGGTCCGTACTCCTCCTTGGCCACTTTCATCAGGAAGGCCTTTGTGTACTTGGCCCTGTACAGGCTCACTTTCAGCGCCACTCGGGCCAGGTCTTGTGGGTTTTTCATTGCGCCCGAACCCACGTACCGAGCCAAGGACCGTACGCATAGGTCTGAGTATAGTGTTCTCTCGCACCACGATTTCACGTACGCCCTCGCATCGTAGCCCTTTTCCGGCGTGGCGGCTGCGAAAGAGATGACGAAGATGTGGATGATTAGGAACAGAACGATGGATTTGTTGTTGGTCGCCATTATTGGCAATTGGAAATCTAAATTAGAACCTCTAGGGGAGAAGAGAGAGTTTATATAATGTGTATATGTGTGTGTATATATATATATTGATAAGATATGTGTATAACAGTATATATATATATTATAGATCGATGGGTTGGGAAGGCAGGCAAGCATGCATGCAGGTGGGAAAAAAATACGTAAGAGTATGCATGGTTTTCGTTTGAAGGAAAGGGCTAAATAAATCAGATATTCATTGAGATTTAGAACGTGATGACAGCGTCTTTCTAGACGTAACAAGTTGACCAAGCGATCATTTTCCAGCTCGTAATAATGTGATGATGCATACTATATTATATGCTGTTATTTACTCGCTGGATTTAGTATAATGTTAATATTATTTCGTTACATAAAAATAATTTTAAAAATATCATTAAATTTTATGTCTCGGCTCTCGAGGCATGAGGTGGTATACTTGATAAGCATAAAGGGGTTGACCAGAGAGAGACGCACGTGAAAATTTGACCCAAAGACTGCGGCAAGGTGCGTGTCGCCGGCGAAGGTCACGGCGGAGCTGAAGAAAAGGGCTACCCTCATGCCCGGCAAGATCCCTTTCCAAAGGCCTCCCTTTTTTAAAAAAATCAGATGTTGAAGATCAGTGTTTCCCATTTTTCCTCATACGTCATTCATTATACACGTGCGTACAAACAGGTCGTTAATGGGCGATTGACAAATGTGGGTCGTCGAGATCATATATTCGCGTTGTTAGAAGAACAGCACGAGTACATGTGTATAGGTTTGCATGGCTCATCAAAATATATTAAACAGTATCTTCCCGTGATATATATGGCAGATAATCGGAGAGTTATTATTGAGCTTTCCCAGAACCGAATAAATAAAATAAGAAACAGGAAAAAATTTGAAGCGAAAAGCTAGCATGACAGCATATTTTGATGTATGATTTTGCATAATCATATATACATACATATTGTTAAAGTAAGGAAAGAGCATATTCAGCATCTAGAAGCTCAAATCAGGAAATAGAAATGTGGAGCTGAGTATGGAAAGCACTTAAGGAAAGAAACAGAAAGAGGAAAGAAGACAACTGCATTCAAGAAGAAATGGAAGATTGCTTATGGAGAGGATATTCGATGAATCAAAGAAGAAAGGCGAATATATGAGAGGAGCGAGACATCTGTCTTCTTTGTCGAGATTATTCAGAAAAAAGTGTCTTTGTGAGAGAGATATTAGAGAGCTTTTTTACGGGAAACACTGGTGAGTGTTAACTGAGAGAAGGTGAGATCTACTTGAGGGGGAGCCTTGAAATAACAGGCGACCTGCTCACTGTGCCTGGAAGAGTTCCAGGGTGACACGTGGTGTGCGCTGTGCACAGTGTGTCTTGGGCTGGTAGAATTTCTTGTGATACTGAAAGTTTCATTCAGGGGGAGTGAAACTGGTGAGGGTTGAGTACTACTTGGAAAGTACTGAAGTGTATTTGACTCGTATCAAAGAAATAGAATCAGTTTGGGTTTTTCAATTGGTATCAGAGCAGGTCACCGATCGTAGGAAAGTGTTCCTCTCATATCGGTGTGCGATTCAGTTACACAAAATGGAAGGATTCAAAGATCTACAATCACTCGGAAAGACGACTATGCTTGACTCAACCAACTATGGACACTGGAAAGTTAAAATAAGCTCGTACATCCGTGGACTAGATGAAGACACATGGAGTGCTGTTACTGATGGATGGACTCGACCAACTGATGTCGTCGATGGAGTCATAAAAGCAAAACCAAAAAGTCAATGGACACCTCAAGAGAAGAAAGATTCTGCTATGAATCAGAAGACACTATCGATAATATTCAGCAGTGTGTGTCATGAGGAGTTTGAGCAGATTCAAGGATGTGAAACTGCCAAGGAAGCTTGGGATACCTTGGAACTCATTCATGAAGGAACTTCTAAGGTAAAAAGAAACAGACTTGACATGATTGATCTGCAGTTTGAACGTCTAAGGATGGGGGATGATGAAGGTGTTAAGGAGTTTTGTGGCAAACTGAGTGCATTGTCTAATGAGGCAAGTGTACTTGGTAGGAGGATCAATGATGACAAGCTGGTGAAGAAACTTCTGAACTGTCTACCAACTAAGTTTCATTCACAGATCCTGGTGTTTGAAGGAGTTAATAATTTAGATACAGTCACTTTCAAGGAAGCTGTGGGGACGTTTGTTGCTCATGAACTGAGACTTCAGCTTATGAACGGAGGGAGCTCTACCCATTCAAGAAAAGGAGTGGCTTTACATGTTCCGGAAACTAAGGTGGAAAATCAGGAAGTCAGAAAAAATGTGAAAAACAAGAAGCTGTCTGAAGAGGAACTGCATGAAGAGATGTCTCTTGTTGTCAGAAAATTTAATAAATTTTTCAAGGGGAAGAAGAAATTCAGTCAACAAAATGACCGAGATGCTGGGAAATGTCTGGAGTGTAAAGGCTCAGGACATTGGAAGGCGGAATGTCCAAGTATCACTAAAAGAGAGAGTGTACTGAAGAATCTCAAAGAAACGCAATGCTTTGAGTGTAAAGGATTCGGTCATACAAAGATGGAATGTCTCAAGAGCAAGGGAAAGTCTCTGATTACGCATGAGGAGGAGACCACAGACTATGAAAGTGATGGTGAAGGAGATGATCTGTCAAACTTTGTGGCTTTTTTAGGAGTCATTGAAGAAGAAGATCCAGAAGTGGATAGTGATGGAGAGGAAATCACTGAGGAAGAACTCTTTACAGAAATGACCAAGCTGGTGCATATGAATAAACAACTCATCAGTGAAAAACAACAACTTGAGAAAGAACTCAGGCAAGTGCAAGTACAACTCACAAAGACACAAACAAGAGTTGACTCAGAAAGAGGAGGAGACATCTATTATGAAGTGTAAATTGGAAGAAACCAAGAAGAATCTTCATCTTCTTGGTAATGGCACTGGGAAACTAGATCATCTGCTTGGTATAGGGCGGAACTCAGGTGATCACTCCGGACTTGGGTATCGAGGAAAGATGGAATCCAGTTCCAAATTCGTATCTGGAGGAAACCTGACTCAAGAGGTGTTCGTGCCAAAGTTTAGAAGTCTGCAACCACAACGATTTGTAAGGAACCCAGCCTACAATCCAAGGGAAAGTCGAACTTGTTATCACTGTGGCAAGGTGGGACACATCAGGAGGAACTGTTTCTATTTGGAACAGAACAGAAATGATTCAAGGTACACACGGTCATCTTACAATCCTCCAGGTTGGAATCTCAGATGGATTCGGAAGTCTGACCTTAAATGTAATGTGGCTTATACTACTGAGAGCTGTGACAACACAGGTGTCTGGTATCTTGATAGTGGCTATTCTAGACACATGACAGAGAATCAAGATATATTGAGTGATTTTATGGAGACTCAAAAAGGTGGAAGTGTTACCTTTGGAGACGGCAAGCAAGGTCGAATTCTGGAAAAAGGAACATTAAACTGTGATGGACTGCCAAGATTGACTGATGTTAAAATAGTGCAGGGTCTGAAAGCCAATCTTATTAGCATCAGTCAGCTTTGTGATAGTGGGATGCGAGTTAAGTTTACCAAGAACGCCTGCTTTGTAACTGATGAGACAAACAAGTGTGTGTTGACAGGAAAACGGAATTCTAACAACTGCTATACTTGGGTCAACTCAGATAAGATCTCTGCTCAGAAGTGTCTCATAACGAAGAAAGATGAGCTGGACTTGTGGCATCAACGGCTAGGACATATTAATCTGCGAACATTGGTCAAGCTATCTAAATCAGGTGTTGTTCGAAATCTTTCAGAACTGTCTCACAGTGACAAGTTTGTCTGTAAAGCTTGTCAGCTTGGCAAATAAGTTCGTATTAGACACAAGAAAACAGAGGAGATACATACATCACATATACTGGAACTTGTTCATATGGACTTGATGGGACCAATGCAAACTGAAAGCTATGGTGGAAAGAGGTACGTTCTGGTTTATGTTGATGATTACTCCAGATTCACTTGGGTTCGTTTTTTGCGAGAAAAATCAGAAGCCTGTATAGCTTTACAGCATCTAGTTCTTCAATTGAAGAATGAGAAAGGCATGGTACAACGCATTCGAAGTGATCACGGTGTAAAGAGATATGAAGAAGATTTGAGAAGATTTTGTAATATTTAGATTTGATTTTACGTAATAGAGAAAGAGATGGAGAATAATTGGATTTCTCATTATTCAACATATAATATTACAATATTTATAGTAGAAAACAAAATCATAAAATATCTTATTTAATAAATATAAATATCTAAAATATAAAAATAAAACCAAATCTAAATATTACGTAATCTTCTTAAATCTTCTTCATATCTCTTTATACGCCCCCTCAAACTCAAAGAGATGAGAAACAACTGTTTGAGGTTGAATTCTCCAGAAAATAACGGGATTTGACAATCGAACCTAGGAACCGGTGGATTGTTTGCGGATCTGAAAAAGTCCGGTGAAGCAGAAGCGTGGTGCACATGCACGGTATTGTGGTGTAGTGCGACAGCAATGTCGGCAGTGCAAAAGGCGCGATGGTTTAGCGGTTATGCTGGAAATAGAAAATAAATTGTGCAAATGCACACGGCTAAAGCCAAAAAAAGAAAAAAGAAAAAAAAAGAAGATGGCGCAAATGTGCGGATCGACGATCGGAGTATTCCAATCGACGAGGCTAAAAGCCGAATTCAAAGGCTGATGTGGCACGGATGTGCGGCGCATATGCGCGAGTTGGATTGCACGACAATGAGGTCGGCATAAAAAAAAAGAGTAGCACATCGGCTAGGGTTGACAGTGATAAACACCGTCGTCAGGAAAAAAAAATAGAAAAAAAATGAATGGAAGACGATACTCAAATTGATGATACTATTGGAGTTAGTATATCATCGTCATCTTCATCGTCGTTTTCGGATTCAACGAACATCGTTGTTATAAAAAAAAAATATTTAGAACAGAAACCGAAACTCTGATACCATAATAGAGAAAGAGATGGAGAATCATTGGATTTCTCATTATTCAACATGTAACATTACAATATTTATAGCTGAGGTTGAATTCTCCAGAAAATAACGGGATTTGACAATCGAACCTAGGAATCGGTGGATTGTTGGCGGATCTGAAAAAGTCCGGTGAAGCAGAAGCGTGGTGCACATGCACGGTATTGTGGGGTTGTGCGACAGCAATGTCGGCAGCGTAAAAGGCGCGATGGTTTAGCGGCTATGCCGGAAAAAGAAAATAAATGGTGCAAATGCACGCGGCTATAGCCGAAAAAAAGAAGATGGCGCAAATGTGCGGATCGACGATCGGAGTATTCCAATCGAAGAGGTTAAAAGTCGGATTCAAAGGCTGATGTGGCACGGATGTGCGGCGCATATGCGCGAGTTGTGTTGCACGACAATGAGGTCGGCAGAAAAAAAAAAGAGTAGCACATCGGCTAGGGTTGACAGTGATAAACACCGTCGTCGAAAACCCCCGCGTCAAAAAAAAAATAGAAAAAAAAAATGAATGGAAGACGATACTCAAGGTGATGATACTATTGAAGTTAGTATATCATCGTCATCTTCATCATCGTTTTCGGATTCAACGAACATCGTTGATATAAAAAAAAATATTTAGAACAAAAACCGAAACTCTAATACCATAATAGAGAAAGAGATGGAGAATCATTGGATTTCTCATTATTCAACATATAATATTACAATATTTATAGTAGAAAACAAAATCATAAAATATCTTATTTAATAAATATAAATATCTAAAATATAAAAATAAAACCAAATCTAAATATTACGTAATCTTCTTAAATCTTCTTCATATCTCTTTATACACGGCAGGGAGTTCGAGAATGACATGTTCCAACGATTCTGTGATACTCATGGGATTTATCATGAATTTTCAGCTCCTAAAACACCACAACAGAACGGTGTGGTAGAGAGGAAGAACAGAACACTACAGGAGATGGCGCGATCTATGTTGTTGGCTAAGGATGTTGCTACTTGGTTCTGGGCAGAGGCCATGAGCACGGCGTGTTACTTGATTAATCGGATTTATCTTCGATCTGGAATGGCGAAAACCCCATATGAAATTTGAAAAGGGAGAAGTCCACCTCTCAAGTATGTTCACATATTTGGATGCAAATGCTATATCTTGAATGACAGAGAATACTTGGGTAAAATGGATGCAAGAAGTGATGAGGGATTATTTCTCGGATATGCTCAAAACTCTGCTGCTTACAGAGTATTTAATCTGCGTACTAAGACAGTGATGGAGTCTGCTAACGTCATCGGGACAAAATGGGTGTTCAAGAACAAGTCAAATGAGCTTGGGAAAATAGTTCGTAACAAAGCTCGGTTGGTGGCTCAGGGATATACGCAGGTGGAAGGGGTAGATTTTGATGAGACTTTTGCACCCGTGGCTCGTCTAGAATCCATCCGCTTGCTGCTGGGTGTTGCTTGCAGTCTCAATTTCAAGCTTTACCAAATGGATGTCAAAAGTGCTTTTCTTAATGGGATCCTGCAAGAGGAAGTATATGTGGAGCAGCCCATTGGCTTTGAAGATCCTCATCATCCTGATCATGTTTTTCGTCTGAAAAAAGCACTGTATGGACTAAAACAAACACCTCGGACGTGGTATAAAAGGTTAACCTCGTTCTTAATCGACCACAGCTACAAAAGAGGGGGAGTGGACAAGACTTTGTTTATCCACAACGAAGATGGGAAGCTGTTGGTAGTTCAAGTATATGTTGATGACATTGTGTTTGGTTCAGTCTCTCAGGAGAAAGTAGATGGATTTGTGAAGCTGATGACTGACGAATTTGAGATGAGTATGTTTGGAGAATTAACCTTCTTTCTCGAACTTCAAGTAAAGCAAACAGACGATGGAATGTTCATCTCTCAGAGTAAATACGCTCGAAGCTTAGTTAAAAGATTCGAATTAGACGAGAGTAAGTCAGCAAAAACACCAATGTCCACTTCGACGAAGCTGACTCGAGATGAAGATGGAGAAGATGTTGATTCCAAACTGTATAGAGGGATGATTGGAAGTCTACTTTATCTGACTGCAAGTAGACATGATCTGTGTCTGAGTGTTGGAATATGTGCAAGATATCAGGCTAAACCGAAGAAATCACACTTACAGGCCGTCAAGCGCATCATCAAATATGTGAAGGGAACTATAGAGTACGGTCTACACTACACAAAAGATACAAGCTGTGAACTGGTGGGTTTCTGTGATGTCGACTGGAGAGGTCATGCTGATGATCGACGAAGTACTTTTGGAGGATGTTTTTTTCTCGGAAATAACATGGTGGCTTGGCATAGCAAGAAACAGAACTCTACATCCTTGTCCACAGCTGAAGCAGAATACATAGCCTTGGGAAGCTGTTGCACTCAACTCATGTGGATGCGTCAAACGCTCTCCGATTACGGTATCACCTTATCTTCCTTTACTGCTTATTGTGATAATACAAGTGCCATTAATATCTCAAAGAATCCTGTTCAACACTCGCGAACTAAGCACATTGAAATTCGTCATCATTTTTTGCGGGAACAAGTTGAAAAGAAAAACTTGATCACTGAGTACATTTCTACTGAAAAACAATTGGCTGACATATTTACTAAACCTTTAGATATGAACAGGTTTATTGGTTTGCAAAAATCCCTCGGTGTAGGGGAACTCTGATTTTTTTCTGATTTTCAAGTTCCTAAGGAAGTGTGCAGGAAAGGGTACAGGTCAATGGATGTGAACGTCAAGGAGATGGACACGACAGTCAGAAGCAATTCACTATTTCTCAGGTATATTTCGCAGAATACAGATTTAACTAACTGATTTTGTTGCTCCTCTGTCATGATAAGCTGAAAAGAGATAATACTCCAAGTAATCATGATACGAGTAAACTCGTGAGGTGCTCGGGTCTAAGTTGGGAGATATCATTCTATACGATGGTTTAAGGGCATAAGAAAATTAAAAAAAAAAAAAGAGAATGGTGAGGATCTTCGTCTGAATAATAGCACGAGTTTCTGAATACTCCGCTGTGGGTTAAATGACCTTCACATGAGTATATCTCAAATAGAGATAGTCTGGACCTTAATGGTGAGAATGATCTATCTACACAACGTCCTAGAAGTTCAGAATCATGATGCTTTGCAAATTAGCTTAGATCTGTGTAAGGCTTGAGAAGTATCTGAGAATGTGTGAAATGCAACTGATCGTCAGATTCATCTTGGAGATGTGAGTATCCTATTGACAGGTATATCTGACCTAATCCTTCGGTGTTCAAATTCTCTATAATTATTTTATTTTTTTTTTGCTTACTATCAGACCTGTGATTATCTGGATGGAATGGTAATATGAATATACTAATTGTGCTTAAGCGGGAATTGAAAAATTGATCAGTTTTTTTTTAAAAATTTTGAATCCCCGCTCACTCATTTACTCATTGCAGCGGTTTATGAACATGCCCTAATTTTTCGCACAATTAACTCACACACATTCAAGTTTCTCTCTCTAGCGGTTCTTTGCACAGCCAGTTCTCACAGGAAAAAACTCTTCAAATGACGACCAAGAGAAGTGGAAAGATAATCCGACAAGGTGAACGACGCTCGACACGCAACGCGGCTCGCCAAACTCGAGAATCAGGTAACCCTAGTTTGCCTGCGATTGTTGAAGAACCAGTAATCATGGACATAGGTGAAAATTCGGAGAAACGAACCGACAAGTATTCATTCCTGAAATCGGTACATGCAGCAGCTGACAATGCTCAGGCGAAGACCTCTGAACCAGCCAAGGATGGGTCTGAGAACGATCTGACAATCGAGCAAGGGCAAGTGAAAAAATCTGCGGCTGAGATTCAACTAGAAGACGCGACAGGTTCCGACTTGCACGCTAATCGGGATAATCACTCAGACTCTCGCGATCACTCGGACAGATATGGAGATGGGGGTGCCGATCCTGTAAATACAACAACAGGGGATGAGGTTAAGGCCACGGAGGCAGCAAGTGATGAGCGTACACTCACGGAAGCCTTAGACGATAATCTGTCGGGAACAGAGGAGGAAATGGTCACCGAGACTCAGTCTCGTGCAACAGAGGTACCAGTTCCTGTCAGTTCTGATAATTCAGACAGTCCCTTAATTGTATTGCAGCAAAAGGCAAAGGGGAGATTGATCAGGAAGCGCAAGGCTACTTCAACTCATGACAAGGAGCCCTCGGGAGTCCCCGGTAGAACCCAAAACCCAAGGGTGATCAAGAGAAAGAAAGGAGGGTGTTCTGAATCGACTGCTCAGTTCAGCAAATCAGGTGACTCTGCTCTTAAACCTCTCTCAGAGAAATTTCTATCGGCTGAGACAAAGAAGAGATTTGAGAAATTCAAGGGAGTTGAGGTACTTGCTGAAAGGAATGTGAATGTAATGGATTTTAGGAAGAATCATGTCTGGGATCTGTTTGCAGAACGACAGCTCACTGGAACATTGACTTATGCATGTTCATTCAGTAAAGGGTTGGTGAGAGAATTTTATGCCAATCTAACACCTAGCACTGATATTCCTGGTGACTTCATGCATTACAAGGCTTTTGTGCGTGGAAGGTTCATTGAATTCTCTCCCACGATCATCAACAAATTGTTGGGCACACCTGATACCGCAACACAGGGATTGGAAGATTTTCCAGAGGGAACTACACTTGAGGATATGGAAGTAGCTCTCACTGGAGAGTATGTCGCTGAAAGAAGCGGGAAGCTTCCTATTGCTCGTCTCAAGTTTGAAAGTCGGGTAATGCATCTGATTGGAAAAACTAACTGGCTACCTACTCGACGAACTGATGTTCTTCAGGATGAACTAGCTCTCCTTATATTCAAATTGTTGAGGAACGAGGAGGTGAATCTGGGAAGAATTATCTACAGTCACATTCTCTCAAGAGCTGCTGATATGAGAGTGCGCTATCTGCTACCTCATCCATGTCTCATTCAAAACATCATTGTGAGACAGAGTCCAGAAATTCTAGCTGATTCTGAGATTACTGAAGTCATCCAGCGGCCATTGGTCATTGAATCCAGAGTGCAACAAGCAAAGATGAGTCGGGCACAACTATGCAGCAAGACCTTCACTCTCCTTCTGAAACATGACAAGCAACTCATTCAAGTTGAGAAATTACAGAGGAAGGTTACCAAAGCAGTGACTCAGATCCGTGCTCGCCAACATGCTCTTTGGACAGAGTTTCAGAGTAATGCATAACCTGCATTCATCCTCGAGGTATGATTTTGTGTTTCTGTTTGTGCTAATATTGTTGAATTTATGCTTATCCACACAGGGGGAGAAAGTGAAGCCGCACCCTCATCAAGTGCTACAGGCAAAGGAAAGGAGAAAATGGTTGAAGACTTGATGAGTGAATCTGGTGATGACGAGGATGCTGAAACACCTGAAGATCTATCTGAGTGAATGCTACTTCATGTGTCTTGAAGTGGATCTGTGCTAATTGCTGTTTTTTTTTTCTGACACCTTTCGAATGTTGTTTACATGCCTCATTACATGTTTTTGCTTATGTGTTGAACTGGTTGACATATTCAGTTTGCTATGAATTATATTCTCTGTCAGTATGCGTTTAAGTGTGTCTAAGCAGAAAGTCAAAAAGGGGGAGAATGTTAAAGCAACAAAAGAGCATATTCAGCATCTAGAAGCTCAAATCAGGAAATAGAAATGTGGAGCTGAGTATGGAAAGCACTTAAGGAAAGAAACAGAAAGAGGAAAGAAGGCAGCTGCATTCAAGAAGAAATGGAAGATTGCTTATGGAGAGGATATTCGATGAATCAAATAAGAAATGCGAATATATGAGAGGGGCGAGGCATCTGTCTTCTTTGTCGAGATTATTCAGAGAAAAGTGTCTTTGTGAGAGAGATATTAGAGAGCTTTTTTACGGGAAACACTGGTGAGTGTTAACTGAGAGAATGTGAGATCTACTTGAGGGGGAGCCTTGAAATAACAGGCGACCTGTTCACTGTGCCTGGAAGAGTTCCAGGGTGACACGTGGTGTGCGCTGTGCACAGTGTATCTTGGGCTGGTAGAATTTCTTGTGATACTGGAAGTTTCATTCAGGGAGAGTGAAACTGGTGAGGGTTGAGTACTACTTGGAAAGTACTGAAGTGTATTTGACTCGTATCAAAGAAATAAAATCAGTTTGGGTTTTTCTGATTGATTGTATCGTGTGAAGTAGTTTTTTCACATATATATATATATATATATATATATATATATATATATTTATTTATTTTCATGTTCATTGTCGAAACTTCTGCACAAACCCCGTCATCCGAAGTAGGTGCGGGAGTTTCGGTTGTTCAGAACTGTACCCGAAAAATTCGGCATCGTTTCTAAATCAAATAGTCTAAAATTCTCGAACGATATTTGTTTTAGAAAAACGATTTAGTAGAACTAAACCGAATTTAAAAAATAAAATCGAATAATCAATTTTTTTTAAAAAAAATTATTTTTTTAATAAAAATCAAAATCGAACCGAACCGATAACCAATTGGCAATTGGTACATATATTTTTTTTTCTGTTGAACCGAAAGTATCAAACGGAATAAATACCGAACCAAATATTGAAATGGCCACAACTAATCCAAAGTGGCGAAGTGTGTGAAGACATCGAACCCTGGAAATGGGACGATGCTTGTGTTTTGTCGGTTTCTCTCTTTCAAAATGTCTCCTTGCCTTTAGCCCTTTATTCTCCTTTATTAAAAGCATCGAATTCCATATATATATATATATATATATATATATATATATATAATATTACGTGGTCGGACAAGAGAAGAGAATAAAGTGGCGTTTGTAAGGAATTTTTTTAAAAAAAAGTCAACTCATTTTATAGCCATTAATTGGCACGAGACAAGCTGATGAATAGACGTGAGTGCACTCTGGAATCGATCAATTTAAACATGGTATAGTACGAAGTCCATTAAGACTGTAACCGCTATGTTGAAAAATGTCTAACTTTGAATAAAAACACCTGCATCACGAGATTCAGCCGACCAACTCTTTATTTGCCATCGTGACCATATAGATAGTCATGTAACTGTAAGAGCGAGCGCACACATATATATGTATACACCACAATTAAAGGTGGACGCGGTTCGGTTATATATCGAATTTTTCCAATAGACAATCTTAGTTTCGTTTTCGAATTTTTAGAGCACATTATCTCAATTTTGGTTCTACAAGATCGGGTATCCGATGGCTGTGTAAATACACATAATTAAAGTTTTTTTTTATATTGGTGAATTGTCCAAGTTTCGAACTCATGCTCTACTTTACCACTTGTTCTACCCACTTTGGGACACATGGTTAAAGGTAGATATGGATACCAAACCTATGAAAATTCCACGGTTGTTTTGCAAAAATCTAAACTCGAATCTATCGTTCGGGTTCGTAGTCTTATCACACCCTGTTCGGCCGTTCACGATCGGGTAACACCGTATCTCGAATACCTCAAGATTTGATATTCGAAAACCCACGGATGTCGAGGAACCACGTCTAGCCCTATATATCCTTTTGTTAAATGTTGAGTCCTTCATAGATATATATTCTTTTTAATTTTGGAAACTAAAAGCATTTGCCCCACCTCGTGAGGTAAAATAATAGAACTAGCAATAAACAAGTAATCAATCAAATAATTAATTTGGGTAGTTCAACCGGTGAAAGAGATGCAAAGTCTCTGTTCTGTTCCTAGTTCGAATCTCAAATCGGGAAGGAGAGTGTAATTCCAATGACATAATTTGCTCATAACCCGAGATTAGTTTACTCGATCCAAAACAGCCGATTACTAAAAAAAAAATAATCAATCATCAAATTTTATTTTAGTGTGTGGGAACTAAAGTTTTGAGAGAGAGAGAGAGAGAGAGGAGCAGGCAGATTAATTAGATCCGTCGAACTCTCTCTTCTTAGAGAATTTATTGAGTGAGATCTCATGTGGCCTCCCAGTGCTTGACCAGATGCAAAGGCCCTCTTACAGATCCCACATTCATGGATCCTTTTCCTCGTCTGTGTTTCTTGTTCTTGTTCTTGAACCGGTTCCGATGCTGTCCTATTCTTCTTCTTCTTTTTATGACTCGCCACGTGTCCGCCTAACGCCTGGTACGATTTGAAAATTCTGCCGCAAGTCTCGCACTTGTTATTGTCTCTCTTCTTCCTCTTCTTGTTCTCAGATTCATGTTCTTGATCGTTTTCTACTTGTGTCTTGTCCCTAGACAACATCATGAGACAAAAGGCCACATCTTCTTCGGTCGTCGCAGCGTCTTCATCAGACACCGAGCTCGCCGGCTCCTGCTCCGTCCATGACTCGGTGATTTGACTCGTTCTTCTCTTCGTGTCTTTGACCGATACTTGTTCTTCTTGTTTGGTCGGTTTAAGCTGTGGTCGGCGTGATGAGATGCAACCCGGTTTCCGGGTCAATCTGGATCCTTTCCGGGTCGGATTCTTGAACGATTCGGCTTCACTGACGGAGCTAGAGAACTCGGGATCAGCCGCCGAAATCGTTTTGTCTTCTTCATCGTCCGAGGAAGAAGACGAGTGAGACGAAGCTGACTCGGGATGTTTTACCAGTGGGATCGGAATCTTCACCATGTGACCTCCCAAAGTTCTTCTTCCATCGGCGAACCTCTTCCAACACAACTTGCGCTTACGTTTGTCCATCTATGAACGGCACCGGTAAAAAAAAAAAAAAAAGTTTTAGGTCAAAAAGGAAAAAAAAAAAGAAGGTAAAAGGGCTTTGGGGTTGTAACTAATGGATACGAATTATATCCAAGAAAGGGAATTTAATTTCATTTGAAGGAAAAAAAACGGCTAAAAGAAAATATATGAATAAACGGTGGATGCATGAAGGACGGTTGATCAAACAACGCCCGTTTTCTTACCTCGTAAATTCATCTTCAAAGCCCAGTTTGCCCTTTTTATCAAAAACGGTGGCTTGCTTGCACGGCCAAAAGAAACTGCCGAGGTACTAACCTCGAACAAAACATCCATCCAATCACATGGTGACACGTATACCTAAGCTTTGACTTTGACTTTAACTTTCACGTTCAAAGTTCAAACTAACCAAAATGCAAGGGGCATACGAAATTATGTCGGGCGTTATCTTATTCACCGTCTTTTAATTGGACAATTTATACGCATTCGTGCTTACGGATAGCCCTCTCAATTCACATGTTTGCGCGATCTTGTCATATATTTATTCATTGATACAAGTTGTGTTTGTTTAACGGCTGTTAAATTTATCTAAATGATACGATATTTTTCTTTGGTCCCACACTGTAACGAAACAGTCCACACACATATACACGTAACCCGATCGAAAGTGAAGTAAATTTCTGAATCAAGGGTTTTGTTTGTGGCCGATGACGGGGTTCCATTCCGAGTTTAGACATTCGGAATGCATGCCGTTTCTTCCCGTCTTGATCTATTTCCACACAGAGACAGATATGATGTGACCGAGAACGTGCCGCCGATCACAGTGACAGTCTAAAACCGAGGGCGTGAATATCAGACCATACGACATTGTCGTAAATTCAGTTCAGGGCCATCCTCTTCAACACAAAATGAAGTTCATCCCGTTTTCCGGCAGCCTCCAAGGCATTTCTCAATACATCATGGCAGTTGAGCTGTTGGTGGTTCCCCTTTTCCACCAACTCGTAGTACAGACCGAACGCTTCCGAGGGTCTCTTACGTCTGCATAGTTCTTCTATGACTGTGTCGCATGTTCTTGTATCAACACTTTGGCTTCTTTCCATACAAAACAGCAACAGTCTATGCGCCTCAAGCATGTTTCTACTCTCGCAGAGGGAGTGGAGTAATTTCTCCATATCAACCAGATACCCGTTATCGTAGAGCAATGTGACAATCTGAAACCCTTTATCCTTTTGTCCGCTGCTGAAGAGCGAGATGACAGCATGTGTTGACAGATCCATGTTCTGTCTTATTCCCTTTTCCAACATCAGCTTTAACAAGCCGAAAGACTCGTTCGGACATTTCGCTTTCACAAGCTCTGCAAGTATGGAGTGAAACACGATTGCTCCTGGAAGATGAGAGCTCCTAAGCATCTTTTGTAGCGTCTTGTAGGCAATAGCAGCTTCGCCCTTCTTCAAAAGCCCATTAATCAAGAACTCGTAGATTTCAAATTCCGGCTCAAAATCCTGTCTCAACATTAGGACCAACAGCTCATAAGCAGCCTTGAATTTACCTTCTCTGCAGAAACCCATGATCAAAGTCTTGTAAGAAGGTGAGTCTTGTGTCCCTCTTTTCATTAGCTGCCTGAACACTTTCTCGGCTTTCTCTGTTTTCCCATTAGCACATAAATATGTGAACACGGGGTTATAGGCTGCGAACAGAGGTTTGCATCCATCCTTACCTAACAATATCTCCTTCTCCAGTAACTCGTTCAACAATGCCTCTGCTCTTTCAAAATCCTTCCTCTGGCAGAAATTTCGGATCAAGATACTATACGAGGCCGAATCAGGCTGCACATTCAGATTCACCATTTCTCCAAAGACCTTCGTTGCTGCATCCAGATTTCCCGCATCGCAGTGGGCAGCGATCAAAATATTGTAAGTGCACGCATCTGGAGCAAAACCGGAAGATTTTCCCCCTACATCCAAAATCTCTTTGATCTCTTCATATCTCTGTGCCTCACACAACCCCTTTATCAGAGTGTTGTAAGTAATATCATTCGGTTTCAGCCCCCTAGTCAGCATCTCACGGAAAACAGCCAAAGCCTCATCGATTTCATGCTTCATGCAATACCCTCTCACCAAAGTGGTGTAGGTTACAATGTTAGGGCGTAAATCCGTTCCCTTCTTCATCATACCCTTCACCACATTATGTGCAATTTTCACCTTTCCGGCTCTACACAAGCCATCCACGATTGTGTTGTATGTCACAACATTGGGATGGCACTTACTCTGCTCCATTTCTTTGAAAAGTCTAAACCCTTCATGTACCATAGAATCCTTACAGAACCCCCTAATCAATATATTATATGTATACGAATCTGGAGTGACCCCGTACGTATGAAGCATTTCGTCGAACATGTTATGGACCATACCAGTCTTACCCCGCTTGAGCAGAATCGAGAACAAGCTATTGAACGTGACGACCGAAGGGGAAACACCCATTTCCTTCATTGTCTCGAACAACTTGATTGAAGCTTGGAACAGTCCGGCATTTCCGTAGCTCCTAATCAAGCTATTGAAGAACCGGTCCTGGAGCTTAACGGATCCATTAGACCTTTTCCTGATGGAGAACAGGAAATTACGAGCAACATTGAGATTCCGAGCTCGACCCAGAACTTCTAGCATGAGGAAGAATGACTGATCATTGTGAGAGAACCCCTTCTGCGAAACCCAGTCGAAGAATCTAAGGGCTTTGGCAGGGGTCTTCACGAGACGAAGGGTCTGGAGAACGGTGGTCTTAGAGAAGGATTCGGAGGGAGAAAGAGACGAGAGAGAAGACTCGAGCTCCTCTGACCACGGATTAGAGTTCACGAGACGTGCCACTGAACGTGCCAGTTTGGTTTTCGCAGGAGATTTCGATGCTTCAATCATGGCTCTTGAAGTGGAAAAATACCTGTATGCTTGTCCAGATTGGTTTCAGCAAAGTTACCGCTGCGTTCACTAGGCGAGAAGATGCAGGAAAGAACAAAACACCATCACCGAGGCGAGAGAATAACACCGATTCCGGATGGGGTCAAACCCTTTCTCTGCAAACTTGCGAACTGAATCATCAACCTGTAAAAAGCCAGGAGAAAGCACATCGATTCCAGTGGAGGCATCTTGGATATATATCTTTTGGGGGTAAATATGTTCTTAAGATTATGGGCCATATATACTCCGTGGGCCTTGTTGATACTTTTACAAAAACGCCCATAATGATAGATTTTCTCCCTACAAATATTCTCCTCTCTCAATCCGGTTCGGATTTGGTGGCTTATATTTTGGTCATTTCTATTATAAAAAAACCTATAATCATTCTATTTATATATTGAAATTCGATTCGATTTGTGTTGGTTTGTATTCTTTTGAACTCGATTTTTATTATTTTGATCTGATCAATTTAGATTCGATTTTTTTGTTTTAGAGAAATTATAATACTCGGAATGCTCCACGAACTAAGTATACCCTCACCTTTTAAGAGGATAAATAAGAAATTTTGATCATTTTGCCTATTGATTAATTTGAGAAATTCTGGACATTCTACGTCATCTCGCCGATCACATGGATCCCATCAAAAAAGAGACACGGATGGGCCGAGAGGAATTTAAATGGGCCTCTTAACAAAAAAGGCCCATTAAAACGAGGCCTTAATGGGTAATTCACATCTCACAAAACCCATCTTATTATTATTATATAATAATAATAGTAGTGGGAAAGGTGTTCCTCGTGGGCATATTCTCTATTCTCTGCATATAACTAATTCCTATACCAAACACGTTGTTAATCGAACCATCACCGATTTTTTTTAAAATTTCGGATTCGTCCACTGGTGCTAGCAACTTTAAAGAAAGAATTAAAAGGAGAATATAAATACACAGTTGCAGACTTGCAGAGGAGGAGAAAGCTGATATCTGCAGACGACAGGCAAACCCTTTGTTACAGAAACCAGTGACGATGATGATGTCGTTGTTGGAAGACGAAAAGAGGAAGATCAACTACCATCGGAGAAGCTTCTTGATGATAAGCCTCTTCTCTTGTCTCTTTCTTGTCTCCTTCTTCTCCTTTCTCAAGCCCTCCTTCAATGGCGTCTCCCTCTCCCTCTCCCTCTCCCTCTCCAACTCCAACTCTCCCAGCTTCGGAGCTGTTAACAGGTCTCTCAGAGATCGCCCACCTTCCACTTACGCCCTCAATGTCGATTCATACTCCAAACTGGTCGCTACTCGGACTGAAAAGTACGAATCCGATGTCTTTCAAGCCGGTGGATATGACTGGTAAGCACCCACCGTTCCGATGATGGTTCCGATCTGCATTTTTTGTGTGTGATCTGTTGTGCTAAAATTAAATAAAAAAAAACAGGACACTGGTTCTGTATCCGACAGGTAACACGAAAGACAATGGAGCGAACCATGTCTCGCTGTATTTGTCAGTGTACAATCCGGGTTCCTTGGACAAGAACTGGGAGATCTACACCCAGATCAAGTTCTTCGTGTACAATAAGCCCCGGAACAAGTACTTGACCGTGGAAGGTGAGGTCTTCTTCTTCTCCTCCTTCGAAATTCTAATTTCTGAGGCATAGTATCTGATTACGAGGAAGGGAATGTATTTAGATACGGAAGTGCAGAGATTCGACGCTGCGAAAACAGAGTGGGGGTTAGGGCAAGTGATAACATTGGAGACATTCAACAACGGCAAGAACGGATACCTTGTCGGGGACAGTTGCCAATTCGGGGTGGAGGTGGTCGTGCTGAGACCGTACCAGAACTCGGAACGTCTCACCTTGTACGAGAAGCCCGCAGACAGGAAGTTCACGTGGAGGATCTTAGCCTTCTCTCGCCTCGACAAGTCCAAGTTCCTGTACTCCGGTGACTTCCTCGTCGCCGGCAGCAAATGGTCATCCATCTAATGGCAAACAAATCTTTCACAACTAAATAATGATAACGATAATGATAGTAATGACGAAATGAATGTGGATGGATATGTGCAGGAAACTTCGGGTGGCACCAGGAGGGGATGGGGATGGATGGGGAAACTCCTTGTCCGTGTATGTGGAGTTGCATGATACTCAGAGCTTCCGAGTGAATGAGAAGGTTTACGCCAGAGCTAATATACGAGTTCTCAACTCCGACCCTTCCAAGAACGCCCAGAAACAACGTCAGCAGAAAAAAAATATATCAACGCTCTTTCCTTCCAATGCGTTTTCTTTTTTTGTTTGTTGGGATCTGCTTTTGTTGATATGTTCTGTTGTTATTTGTTGCAGTTGGGAAATGGTTCTCTAAGAATGTCCCTGCCCTCGGCTTCCAAAAGTTCATGCCTCTCTCCGATCTCAACGATCCTTCCAAAGGTTATGTCGTCGGTGACAGATTGAATCTCGAAGTTGAATTCGATCTCGTCTCCAAGACTCAGTACACTCCTTAGACTGCAGTCTCATCTCACCCACTGTCTTTTGGATTTCCAATGTTGTTGTCACTTTAGATTGGCTTGCACTCTTGCTTTGTACTTTTCATCTTATATGTAGAACTTGTCTCCCTATAAACTAATATAAATCCCTATAGGGCGTACCTGATTTCCCATTCCCATCGCAAGTGCTCCATCTCTAAACATACAAAAAAAAATAGCCTCAATGAGACGGCTTTATTCACAGAGAAATTTGATTACATCCAGTGGATCTCAAGGACATGTTTAAAGACAAAGCTGACAAAAACCAATGGAAGTACACATACCTGTTGGTGGAGATTACATTGCCTGAGTGACGCTGGAATCGTATTTTGCCCACCTAAACCCGTGTAGAGAAACATCTTGATAACCCGATTCCTTTTTTAGGGAACGAATCATATTTTGCGTCCAAGGTACCACACCCCTTCCCAGTGAAGATGTTGGCTCATTTCTTTTCTTGCCTTTTTTTTGTAACTTATGGAGTGCTGAGGCAGGAAATGCACGTTTGTGCCGCATATTTTTGGTGACAAAGTTGATTCATCGGCATAATAATCCAGATATGCTCTGTTTCAGATTCAAGCAAAGCTGTCGGTGCTGCTGCTGATCCGTAACATATGCACGTACTCTAGTGCTTCTGTGTTTGACATCGGAAAAGAACCAAGAAAGTCATAATAAGCAAATCCTCTGTAAAGGGAGAAGCACAAGCAGAGTCTATCCACTGATTAAAAATGAGTTAAAACACACAGAGACGCTAACCAGAATGAAATCCTACCCTTATGTAGCAAATGTAAGCATTGCTACCCAAGAAAAGCCAGTTCTTCTCAAGAACCAGTGACTTGGAACCCAGTCTCCGTTATAGAAAATGGTTCTGCATAACGTCAAATAAAAAACTGCTGTTATGTTTTTTTTCCCCGGACATATGACAGAAATTCTCAACTATAATCTGATCAACTTATGATGATAATATTACATCCAATGCTCACTTCCGAATCCATGGCCACCATTTCTGCAGAGGCAAAAACTTTTCTTCCATCACTGCAAAAGAATTTCTAGATTAATTAACTGGAAAATACCAAAGCATGCAAGTTTGCTCTATAGTAATTATTTTTATGCAAATTTCTTTTGACTATCAAAGAAAGAGTAGTGTGTAACAGTTTCAAGTACCAAAGACCCTCATAGCTGTTGAAGTAACTGGTAAGGGCAAATCAGTTTCAGGCCTGAAACATATAACGCAAGGAGTGTTTCTTTTGCAAAATGAGTATATTCTTCTTCGTGCATGTAATAAACTCAGACCTGTTGATCACCTAGAGATATCTCAGCCGAACAAGGGCAAAAACTTGGTGATTACGAAAGCAGATGAATCCATGAAGTACTAAAGCCATTCACAGACCGATTTTGTTCATTGACCAATTGGATAAGGCTTAACCATGTCCCATTTGCGTTCTGACCTGAAAACATTTGATTTGAACCCTTCAGACTCCAGACCATTATCAACCGGTTCTGCATACCACAGGACAGGACTAATAAAGTTCACTAGGAATTTGATGAGCATTTGTCTTCTTATAAATTCAAGGGCGAAACCAAAAAAAGGCCCCTAAATCATTGGTTAGCTAGACGTCATAAGTATATTGGCTTCAGAGTTTTAAGAAATTGAAAAATACATAATGCTAAATTTCTAAACTCGCCTCCAAAAACCCAACAGAACCAGAATGCTGAAAATAATTCATCTCTAGCTGTTATTTTGGGTCAGAAAACAAAGGAACGAACAGAAGAAACAAAGAATTTAAGCAGCTAGAATGGCGGGGAAATAAAAGCAAGTGAGATAATTAAGCAAAATAGATTACCTTGCATTCTATGGGTATTCATCATGACATGTTAACAGAGCTCCAACACAGCTCAGATCTCAGTGTGGCAGTGAGGAAGCATCCGGGTTGGCTGAATGAGAGAAAGCCGCAGTTAGTACGACCAGCAACTTCAGAGTCACAGTTGGATAGAATGAGCATATTAAGGGTTACAAATATAAATGCAATCAGCATATCAAGGGGCCACAGTGTGAATAAAACCAGCATATTTGAGAAGAAAATTAATGCTTTGAACTCCAAAAACAGCTACAAGTGCAAAAAGAACAAAATGATCGACTAGAAAGTAGAAAATATGACACCTGCCAGGCAATTTTCCATTTTTTCAACAGTGCAAGAACAGAAATAAATGGCGTGCATCCACAATGACAATGAAATAAACTCCTGTAATCCTCAAAAAGGTAAAAAATCAGGTTCTGTATTTGGGAAAGTCCCCAACAAACACTTGCCTGAAAAGGATTTTAAGAAAATTGTCTATTTTTTGAACATATGCTCACGCCATATCATGATTGTATAACTTAATGTTGTAATTCGTCAAGGCTTTTAGAGTCATCAAGTACAAGGAAGAAAAGGTATAAATCAGTCATGAGAACGATTTCACAGTTGCCCCTTACAAGGCAAGGCAGCATTGTCTAGCAAGTGTATGTAATCCTTGTAAACAAACGATGATTTATATGCATATTAACCAATCATTGCCCATTATGCTTGTGAAGCACATAATACATTTCAATGCCAGTATTGTTGTCCATGGCATACATAATTGAACTACTCTGATCATGTATTCTTTCATCATTGAAAAAGGGCAGTAAGCCAGTCGGTTCTCTACCGACAAAAGGAAGGTTGAGGATTTCCATACAATGGTAGCTCACCCACTTATTCTCTATGAGAAACAGGGCACAACATTGATCTAATTGAAGAATTCCATGTTCTATCTAGAGAACATCACCTAAGAATCACACACAGTTTCGCGCACAAGTTGCTCAATTTATCTACAAAACTAAAAACCCTGATTTCAAATGCACTTGTTGTTCTGTTATCAAAGCTCGCCAAGGATGTCAATTTCATTGACTGAACATAAACAACTACAACACTCTTTTGCTTTCTGTTGCACTATTATCAGAAGGAAGTTGCACACTTCCAGATGATGTTACATTCATTCAGATGCTGCATCCACCAGCCATAGATCATTCAATTCAAAATGTCATTTTCATGTGCACCAGACAAACGAAATAAAATTGCTTTTGAACAACAAACGGAAATAATTGTTTTTTCCCATTTCAGATCACTAATCCAAATCCTCACTTTCATATATCCTCAGTTCACACGCTCATTAATGGGAACGGGTAGCCCCTGGACAAGATTACGTTGTTCACTAACGAATATCGTGTTCCTATATTGATTAGCATAGAGCATTTCCCTGTATTGGTGAGCTATTAAGACATCTCCTCTATGGTTAAAACCTTTAATTCAAACAGGTACATCAATATACCCTGAACCATAATCATATTGCTTATAACCTCACCACGAAAGCACGGGATCCTGGATATAAAAGCCTCATGACACCTTAGATTTTTCACTAAACGACCAGTAAACTCTCAAGCAATAACTTATAAACCACGCAAACAACCATGCAAAAAACCGCTCACGTGGAAATCGAATCCGTGAAATGCAACATTATCTCATAGAAGCTGAAGCTGTAAGTAGTAAATAGTTAAGCTTCAGACATATAATGGATACTTAGTGAGCATCAACGTCCAACCACAGCGAGGCAAATATTTTTAACAAGTTTATAACATCCAGTGACATTCACCAGGTAAGTAAATGTTTCTGAGAGCATAGTATGAAAGCTCAAATTTATTGCTATACCTTCAACCTTCAGCTGTGGAGGGGAGGATCTCAAAAAGAATCGATGTCTGACGTTCCCATACACATTCGACCTAATCCTGCAGGTAAAAGTGGATTCTTTTATAGATTATCGGCCAACATCTAAGATTTCTCAATCATGGGACAAAATGCTCAACCAGTCACCAGGGAAATCGATCAAGAAAAGAGAGAAAATAAAAGGGATTTCACCTTATTGGGTTTTGTCAGAAGTCTTGTCTTGTACATGTCCGGAAGAGGGGCCTCCATCCACGAACCGGGACAAAGATTCTGCATCAGGAGAGATGGACAAACATCAGAAACGGAATAGTAACACAAAGAAAGATGAAAAATGGTAACGGGATCAGACAAGGAATAGGGATACGTACGTCGACATCCTTTTGGATTTTCTTGTTCCTTCTGGTGGGCCTCCTGGTAGGTTTGGCGCCAGTCATCAACAAGAAATCCTCTTCGATCTCCTCCTTGGAGAGGGAGAGAGAGAACCTCATCCTCTCCTTAGTCTCCGCAGCAATTTTGGCGTCAACGCTCGTCCTCGTCCGAGTCCTCTCCGAACGAGTGAGACGCCCCCTCTTCATCGGCCTCAGATTCGACATCGTCGACGTCACTTCCTCACCGTCTGCTTCCTCAACATCAACAGCAACAGCCTTACCGGCCTTCTTATCAGCCAATGCTCCGCCTGTTTCGGCGGCGGCCGGAGATTTCGCGGGGCGTCTGGGAAGACGGTGAGCGGACTTGTTCCACTTCAAGCTGGCCAAGTTGTTCGCCGCCGACGAACCGTCCGCCATTTCGGCTCTGTCACCTACCTCCGCCTCTTGCGACGGCTTCGCGGCGTCGGACATTGTGGTCGAATTAAGCACCATCGTGAGACTGGGAGACTGGACAGAAAACCGAATGGGGAGTGAGACTGAAATTGAATTATGCAATACGAGGGGTCTGAAATGACAAAATAATCCAGACGTCCGGAGAGGGGTAAGAAGGTAAATTCACCAGCTGCGAGAACAATCGCCCGCCGCAGCCACCGGTTTCTCCGCCTCTTGCGGCGGCGGCGGAAGACAGAGTCTTCAGGACCATAAAGGTTTTTTCTTGCGGTTTCTGGTCGTGCGAACATCTCGTCTGCACCAAATGGCCGGAGCTCTGTTGATTCTCTCCTCTGGTATTTCAGCCCCGAAGAAGAAGATGAGAGATGTCTGAATCGTCTTCGTTTCTTTTTAGCAGAAGATCATGAAGAGGAAGATGCGGCAATGGTGATTCAATGGAAGAAATGTCTTTAAGATCTTCCTCTGGTAAATGCGGCTAGATGCTCTTACGTTTCAGACAGATCTTCCTCTCCTGTGTTGCGTTTCCATGGGTTTCTTGGTTATCACGGATCAAGCTTTCTCTTCTGGGGAATTTTAACTAATGTAACGATGCCGAGCTGATAATATCTCCTCAAGGGTTGTTTCTTGTGACCGAGTTCTGAGGTATGAAACTGGTAATAATGCTGGCTGGTGTCTGGACTTGGCTTTGACGAGGTTCAGAAACTGCAAGAACTGAGGTGCGGAGCTGTGGATTTCTTAGCTCTATTTATATATATTTTTTTTTGTAAAGATGTCTGTATCAAGCAAAAGTGTTACTCCCCAAATTTGGTGACAGTTATTATTGCAAATTGTACAATTGAGAGAGATGACATCTAACCAAACGATATAGTTTGGGTCCTAACCCCATACAAAATTTAAATCAAGAGTAAAGGTTTGATTCTCTTTATATATATATTGGTCTCAAACTCGTCTCTCATCGATGTGGGATTCTTATAAATATTGTTCCTTTTAAACAGCGATCACCACGATATTGGGGTAAATGGAATCACTGGCGACTTACCGATCGGTCCTATGGTCATCGAGTCGACCGCATCTCCACAGGAGAACGACTCATCACAGATCCACTGATGTGTAGAAAGTTGGATTTTGATATCAATTGACACTAACTCTACTACAAAATCTAGATTCAGAGTCAAGCTTTGTCCTTCCTTATATTGATCCCAAATCCCTCTTCCACTGCACCACACTCTCCAACTAGAATTACAATCACTCATTCGACCACCATAAAATTGGATCGGATCGTTAAGATTTTGCCGAAGAGATAAAAAGTATTCCCGTTTATATCTTCTTGGCAAAGCCATAGATCATGTAGCGTTCGGGTACGAGAAGAAATTCATTTTGGAGCAGTTAAAAGCTGATCAAATGCAGACAGTGAGTCTTAAGAAAAAAAAAAGAAGAGGCTTTATTGTGATTAGAAAAAGCAAAGCACCGTAAGGGTAATTAAGAAAACACATCTCCCATCCGTGAATCATTTAAACACCCAACCACACTGTTTCGTTTTCCAATAATGTGTAAAACGCGGGGATTTTGTTTGGGGGGTCAATAAACGAGAGGGTTTCCCATGGAACCAATAGAATTCACAGGATCAATAACAAATGCATGCAATCATATACAATTCATTTTATTTTTATTTTTTTAAGCAGGCTGAAGAGAGAAAAAAATGGAGGGAGAGCTTGCATGTGAGAGCTCGAGCTCGAGCTCGTCAAAAGTTCTGGAGTCCATTCGGCGTTATCTGCTGGAAGAAGATGAATCGGAGGAACCCAGGTCGTCGACGGAGGAGGAGGGCAACCGGAAAAGGGAGCCGCCGTCGCCGGTGAGAGGGGGAAGCTACAGAGGAGTGAGGAGGAGGCCGTGGGGGAAATACGCGGCGGAGATAAGAGACCCGAAGAAGAACGGAGCGAGGATATGGCTCGGGACCTACGAGACGGCCGAGGACGCGGCCATGGCTTACGACAGGGCGGCATTCGAGATGCGAGGGGCGAAGGCCAAGCTCAACTTCCCTCACCTCATCGGAACCGACGGAGTCGAACCGGCGAGGGTTAGCAACAGGCGGCGACGCTTGCCGGAAAATGCGGATCCGGCGGGGAAACGGCGAAGCAACACAAGCATAATTAACATAGCGGCGAGACTGCCTTCGCTAGGATTCCGAATTGTCTGAATTACACCCAGCGGAATATACTCTCCGTCGCATGAACGAAAAAGAATCCATCTTTTGATTTTTTCTTTTCTTTGCAAGTAGAGAGGCAGATCACTCTTCGGACAAGATGCATGCGATGTGAGTGCCGACACTCCCATTCTCTGTGTCCTTTGTTCGGATGTTTTTAGCGATCGGACCTTTATCTGCTACACGATAAGTGCTAAATCATGTAGGAGGGCATCTCTTTTAAAATGCTCACGATATATCAACCAATAAACAAACCTACCTCCTTTTTTTTTGTATTTGGATTCTAAGCCGAAATACAAACTAATCTAAGAACCAGAAAAAAATCATATAAATGCCATTTTTCAAGTTTGAGAATTCGAAATCGAACAAAACATATATATTAACCGTCTCTATTTAAGAAGGTGAACTATCCAAATTTGGCATTCGGTACATCAACTACAGCTCAAGATCGACAGATCCATGAGAAATATTCTTTTCTCCTTGCACCGTCCGGAGGTTACAGGCATGAATGAAATCCTTCAACATTGGTATCAAATTAGCTAGCTCCAGATAAAACCTTTTGTCCGTTTGCGCATGGGATTCTTATTATACTTTTGGTATATTGACTGATGTATTCGAACTATTTTTGTACACGGTTCTTTTGGGAGTAATTCAATCACATTTTTTATCAAAAAAAAACTATCCAAATTTGAATCATCTTCCTAGAGAAAATGTTTGTATTTACTTTCTGTGTTCATCACTACTTATTTTTAAGGTAACTCAGTATTTGACTATGTTTTTGAGAATGGTGATTAGTTGATATGCAATTAAAGATTAAAAAACAAAAGAGAAGAAGGAAAAAAGAGGTATACATCCTAGAGTCATATGGAAAGATTTTGTTTTGGTTCGGTTTTGGTTTAATTTGATTTTTCTGGTTTAGACATCGTGTTTGGTTTAGTATGATTGGTTTGGTTGTTATGGATTTTTTTTAAACTTTTGTATTGTTGTTGAAAGGATGATCATTTCAGATTTCGGTTTGGTTATATTTGAGTTCAGTTATTTCGGTTATAGAAAAACTATAACCATTCAGTTTTTATATTAATTTCATATTAGTTGAGATTCAATTTTTTATTTGTAAAAAGCTCATTTAAAAAAAATAATTTTTCCGATTTGGATTCAGAGTTTTCGAGTTTAAAAAAATTATATGTTCGGTTTTTTATTAGATTTGATTTAATTACGATTATATCTTATTTGATTTGTTTCGATTTAATTCAATTATTCAGTTAATAACAAATAACAAAAATGGCAAGACCCCTAGTTGTTACTTCACTCTCTGCTCTAGTATTTAAACACTTCATTATTTCACTTTGAAATCGATAATTTCGAAAATCCACTTGTTTCTTGGAAGAGCTCCTCCGGTTATCAATTGGAGACGACTTCCTGGTCCATTTATAAATGGGCCAGGAATTATTAGGCCTGCCATGATTGCCCCAATGGCATGGTCAGGAATCGTGGCCGTTCAAACGGTGGAGCAATCGTAGACCGTCCGATTGATATCAAGAAACTATGGAAATATTAAAACAAAGGCCACGTGTAGG